TATGTGCCATGGACTACCAAAATCTGTCACTGAAGAATGACATTATATTTGTCAATTGTCAATCAGCACGGTCCATATTGGACTGAAAAGCAGACAGATGACAGATATTGAAATACTGGTCTTTATCAAAGAAGGATGTTTATAATGAGGCTTTCCACAGATTAGTTGAGTCACACAGCAGTTAATATGGGATTTATTAGTGAAATATAGCACAGAATTCTGCTGGTGAAGCTACAGATAATCAGGTACCAATAGACGTGAGCATGGGGCACAAACACACATGAAAGAAAGCTGGCAGATTAAATGGTGATTAAACATATATCTGCTTTATCGTACAGACAAACACTTCAGAAGAAGTCCTGTATGGTATGTGTGCACCCACATAGCCCTGCCATACCCAAACTGGAGAAAAAAAATGAGATGGAGAAGGGCTAAAATACCTCTTCCACATTGGCAGGTCACACAGTGGCTGCATTTCCAGGCAGGTGCTGGCCAGCTGGTGGGGCCTGTTTCAAACCATGCTCAAATCCTCCCACAGCCTGAGTGGGTGAGAGTCTGGAGAGGTGATGGTCACCCCTGCCTGGCCTGTCAGCAAAAAGCTGAGCACTGAGAGCGAGTTTGTTTGATAAAGGAAAAAGAAACACAGCAAACAGGATACCACAGAATTATATTTATGTTGTACGTTTGTCTTCACATTGCAACATCCACATTGTTCATTTTGTGACAAGTATTTCTAATAATTTTGAATACATATTTACTGTATAATACATTTTACCAAGAGGCACTTCCAGTAATTCTGGCAAAAAGGAGCTTCATTATAGTGTCTAACTTACAAAACAGTAAAAATAAATAATGTTTATCTAAAAGATTTTTTTTTCCTGTACAGAATCTATTTTGTACAAAACATTGATCAGCCATTAACTAAATCACTTAACAAATACTTGTGAAGAGAATATATTAGGTATTGCTACATGTATTGAGTGCAAGATACTAGTGAAAGGAAAAGAATTACTCCATTTATGAAAATCACCTAAAAATACAAGGCCTTGTTCCTGAAGTGTTTAAAAAGGAGAAGCTCGGTTACAACAATATTGACAAGATATAAATACAAATTAACGTATGCAGTACTTAGTGAAAGGAACACTGTGTTAAAAACTGGCGTGTACAAATCCTGAACGAGATGGCATTTCTCTGCATTGCCACTTTGGTCGGCAGTTCTTTTTCTAAATATTGCTGCAAAGGAATTACAAAGATACCCAAAGCCTTCTCAAATACAGCCGTATATCAAAGCTGTATACGTAAATAGACATATTTCCCCCCTCTTTCTCTCACCTTCCGAAGTGAACGATTCTGGGAAGGGTTCATTTGGAACTATGCTGGATCTGAGTGAACATCACAAAGCCAGCCTGAGCCTCGGCATCCAGAGCAGCAGCGCAGGAGCCAATGCCTGTGGGTTGGGACAGGAGAGGGCTGAATCCCTTGGGGCCTTCTCAACTCAAAGGCCTCGGTAGGCCTCTGAGGAATTCAGAAATACAAGACTTGAATGACCGGCCCCAATGTTTAGTGGGCCACTGAGTACTTCATACACATCCACACACTTCACATTTTCATTCAGGAAGTGTTTTGACCTCGCTGAACTGATTTCTTAATTACTTTGATTTCTTTTCTTTCTTTCTTTCTTTCTTTCCTTTTTTTTCTTTTTTTTTTTTGGAAGTATAGCTTGTATTTGATGTACATACTTGCACGTTTTTACCCAGATGGCAAAATTGTGTTAGAAAGTCGTTATTTTTGAAAGGCCCCACTCCTGCTGGAGTTGCTGAGGCAAAGGTTTCAGAATGTGATTCTGCTGGAAAACACCCTCGATGTTCTATTGAAAGCATTAACAAAAAATAAGCTGCCACCCCTCTGTGAAAATGTTATCTGATGAACAAACGTAGCCTACAGCACGAATCACATTATTTAAAAAAAGTGAACTTAAATTACTTTCTGTCATGCAGACATCTTACATCGATTACTCAAGAAAAGAGCACTTAACTTCAGAAAAGTAACGACCAAACGTACGCCGACATGGCTGAAATATTAAAAACACCATCAATGCCACAGAGCAGCTCCAAATGCCGCCTTTGATCCTTTAGATACCATCTGCAGTACTGTATTTGGGTTTATAAACGCCTAAAATGAAAACTTTGCGTTCAAATACAGCTTTTCATTGTGTGTCAGAATCAGGAGGGAACTTCAGAAAGGAAAGGCAGCTTGAACAGATGACAGACTTCTATCTAGAGAAGTATGGACAGGTATGATGATCCCTAACTGTTTTCTCTCTGAAACTATTTTTCTTTGTATAAAAGCATGGGGGCAAAATTGTTGGGATCAATGGAAAAAAAAAAATAAAAACCAAATCTCTTTTAAATAAATATTTTAAAGCAATGAGCATGGTCTCTTTCTAAATATTTGCTGTGGTGAAGAAAGACTGTTGAAAAGCAAAGCCTCTAAGCCCACGGTGCTGAGCCAGCCACAGCCAGCTGGGCAAGGGATGGGATTGCATCACTGCAGGCATTTCTCTAGCTGCTCTGACAACAGCCAGCTGACACCCAACATCTGCTCCTCCCCATGCCTCATACTGTGCTGCTCATCCTCCATGAGAGAGGAGGCGATGGCAGCCTTGCTGGCGTGACTCGTGCTGCCCCTTGCTTCTTTGAGCTGATTTTTGTAGCTCTTCAACCAGCACTGGAGATTTCAGTCATAAAGGATACACAGCTCATGGCTGTGATAAAGTCTTTTTTCTCTGCTCTATGCTTCCACACAGCTGGAAAGCAGGAGTGCTTGCACTTTCTCATCCAGTTCACTGCTGGGAACAGCACTTCCCACGCCTGCAAATTCCAGTGTGCTCCTCAGCGCCCAGATCTCACACACTACTATAACTAGCACAAGTCTCACCTCTTGTCCAGTTGACGTACTGGACTTGCACACTCTAGCCACCTGAAAATCTCAATTGAAATAAATGCTATAATTGTTTTCCTCCCCTAGCACCAAGAAAAGGTTTTTTTAGATGACAGAACACTGAAAAACTAAAACCCTCCTTGGCTTACTTCATACTTCAGCTCAACAGCCCGTCAACACAGCCCGCTGGTTACACCCAACCCCATCACCTTGATGAAAGGATCCTTTCACATGTGCACGGACTCAGGACTTGCTGCACACATCTCACATGCTGCTGGCAGGCTTTCAAGCTGCACTGTGCTTACTGTTGCTTCAGATTTCTCAAAGAAGTACTGTGAACTGGCTCAAGCTTTTGCTCTGTTGTCACTGTGGGAAAGGGTTCTCCAGAGATGTGCCAGCACTCTGCTGCCTGCTGGCTCCGAGGGGCTTCCATAGCCCCAAGGCTTCAGGCAGGGCTGCATGGGGGTGACATGTGCACCCTGCTGAGGAGGCGTGATGTGTTTTTCATCCAAAATCACCTGCCTGCCAGGCAAATCACATTAAAAGCCTCTGAATAAATCATAATTGGAAAGTAAATGGAGGGTAACTCTCACACTGCTGCCTGTGATGCTGGGATTCAATAACCACCACAGCATGGGCTAAAGCCCTGCTTTGATTTACCTCCAGAGGAATGTTGTTTTGCTGAATGAAAGCGATGAAATTCAAAGAAAGATTTATCATATTCAGTTGTTCTCAAATGTACTGTTGCCATTTTGCTCTAATTCAAGGTTTGCCTTCAATAATCAATATTTTTGCTAACTCTTCCAATGACTGCTTAAAATAGCTGTCACCTCGATTTCAATTATTCCCCCATACATTCAGTAACACTTAAACAGGTGCAGTTTCCTCAGGAGGCCCGTAAACTGAGAACGCATCAAAGATGCATTTCATCTTTCCTTTCAAATTTCCAGGCTTTAACTCCACTAACATTAGAAAATACTAAAATAAATAAAAGCCATTCAGATGTCAAAGGATGGTTTATTTGTTGGGCTACTTAAAAAAAAAAATAATAATAAAAAAATTCATTCGCCCTAATTGCTGGAAACAGTTCCCTTTAATGCTGCCACCATTTTGACTAACACTGCAACATCAAACTGATTAAAACCCCAGAAAACCTAGGCTTACTTCACTCCATGGGGCTGCATTTGATTTTGAAAGAAAAGTTAGCACGTTGCACGAAGTTTGTTTCATACTGTATTATATTTTTCTTTTCTCTTTCCCTTTCTCTGCCTCTCTCCCTGTTTGCCACAACTCAAGGACTAAATACAGCACTGCTGAGCTGAGGAACCTCCATAACCTCTGACCAATATCCAGGTCTGAGCCTTGCATTGCCTGTCAGCTGCAGCAGATAGGAGATGCAGGCAGCTGATTTTATCTGCCCATATGGCAGAGGGATGCTTGGGACTCTCTTGCTCATGCTTATATTGAACCTCTTTTGCTTCAAACAGTGACGCAGGAACATCTCAACCATAACAGTGGTTGAAAAAGCAATTGAAACTATTATATCTTTTATGAATCTTAGATTTTCCAGCAGGCAAAAGCCTCTGCTTTCTGAGAAAGAAAACCCACAAACTCATTGCTGCCATCCCAAAACCTACTGAGCACTATTTCTCTTTGATGTTTCCTCTCCAGCACGAGCTGGAGAACATCTGTACTGCCTCTCCCACACGTGGACCATTGGGTGCATCCCACTGGGGCGATGGCTGATCAAGCACCCGATGCTTTCTCTGGGTCGCAGCCAAGCATAACCAGGTTTGTTTTGAAAATTGATAGTCACCCCACGCCTACTCAGTTCATTGCTCAGCATGGATGCAGTACTGGATGTGGAGGTGCCCAAGCTGGGGCATGGGCTGGACAACTGTCATGGACTGTACCACAAACCAGTGCTCAGTTTGGCAGGAAAGGATGGATAGATGGATGGATAGATGGATGGATGGAAGGAAGGAAGGAAGGAAGGAAGGAAGGAAGGAAGGAAGGAAGGAAGGAAGGAAGGAAGGAAGGAAGGAAGGAAGGAAGGAAGGAAGGAAAGGAGGAAGGAAGGAAGGAAGGAAGGAAGGAAGGAAGGAAGGAAGGAAGGAAGGAAGGAAGGAAGGGCCAGACTGCTTCTAAATCAGCAGACAGGACTTGAGGAAAACCTTCTGAAGAAAACAAATGATTTTAAAGTCCAAAAGGGAAAGCATGAAAAAGGATTTGGGAATGGAACTTGATTAAAACTCAGATGATATTTTTAGAAGTATCTATCTGAAACATTATAGACTTATCTTCCTTCCTCATTCAGACAGTCAGAACATTCAGAGCTTCTGACAGTAGAACATTAAGAGTATAAGCCCCCAAACCACCAGTCAAAAGGTTCTGAGCAAATTCTACTGTGTTCTGGGATTATAACTTGATGATGTAGAGATGTTCACACATTATATCAGGGTAAAAACTGATGACTAACTATACCTGCATTGGTGAAAAGTGCATTCTTTGATCACAACTGCCTGGAAACCACCCACACCCTGAACGTGACAGGCATTTACTCTGAGAGCCAGCACGAGTTTGCAGGCATTAGTGATGCATAGCCAATTCTCCAGCTTTCTGTAAGGGACTTTGTTCACAGAATAAGCTAAAATTAAAATGCTCCAAGGAGCACTGGAGAATTCCTTTGTCATAGTAAATTCCCACAACTTATTTCTCATATAAGGCTCACGTTATTTTTTAACTGCAAACACTAGATAGCGCTTTCTCTAGCATTTAACCAACCCCTCTGCATAACATACATTACAGAAACTCATATTAACATTTAAAATAGCCTACCTGAAATCTGAATGCTTTGATGAAAGAATACAATTTTCTTTTCCAAAAATATTGCACAGGTTGTGGTTTATTTGCACTACCAAAGGACTGCACAAAGTGGGAAACCATCAAGGTCTAGCCTCAGAAACATTGCTGCAACTGCAGCTCAGAAGTTTTGCCTCCTTTGGACTAGAAGCTAGTACATAAAAAAACACAAGAACTCCAACCACTGAAAAATAACCTGCTTCACTAGTTACTAAAACAAAACAAAACAAAAAAATAAAGTAAAAAACTGTTTTCACACATTTGATACAAAATCTCTCTGGCATTTCTTTGTGTTATATGTGAATCAACCTTGGGAATTCCCTGATTGTTTCCTGCCAGAAATGCAGATTGATAAAGAGTGAACACTGCAGAAATTGGATTCTACCAGTAACTATATGGAGTGCAAAAAAATGTTACCTCTTACCCAGTTAACCAGTCCCAGCTACTTCTGATTCCTTGCAGGCACTGCTTCCAGTTGGGATAAAATCAAAGATCATCTGATTTTAGGCCTGTCAGTAATCCTTCACTGTAAAAGACCTGAGTTAATAAAACTGCACTGTGAAATGGTGCAAGCTGGATCTGGGAGAGATTTGCTGGGATCTTGGAGAATACGTGAGTTGTCTCTTTCTTTTGAATGAACTCTATCCTTTCAGTTTAAAATAATAGTTCAGTTTGGACCTTTGCTTTTCGGATTTCATTGAAAACCACTGTCTAAATCTTTCCGCTGATAAGAGCATCCAGAGCCATACTCTAGAGTCATTCTGTCCAAATGCAAACATCTCTACTGGTGAGAAATCAAACTCCTCTCTTCCAGCAAATCTCACTCTATCAGAAATGCAAAGCAGAGAGATTCTCTGAAGTGACAACTTGCTTTGGCAGAGAATGTTTTGGGGAAGGTATCAATAGGACCATGAAGTAGAGTGAATGCATAACAAAATGGCAAAAAATGATGGATGCAATGTCAGCTATTTAACATAGAAAGGACTTCTCCTACAAACTCTTCCTTTCACAAGCCTTTTTACTCCCACAAGCAATCCTCTTCTTGACAAGGGGCTACAGGATTTGGATAAAAGAGAATACATAGTCTAATCATTTTTGAGAGATACTGAGCTTTATATATATATATATATAAATATATATATAGCTCTTCTTGTGGGGAAAAAAGAAATAACAAAATGCTCTAAATGTTGTGGTACTGGATGGTGTTGCCAGTCCCAAAGAGCATTAATATGTAAAAGCCATGACCCTGCAGACCAGTGGCTTTCCAGAAGGGTCTGTACATATTACTTAACACCTTTTTGTTGGGTTTGAAAATGGCTACACTATATAAAAATGCCTTTGTATTCATTTTTAAAAAATTAGCTTTACAAAAAAAACTTTTCCCTTTTTTTCTTTTTTTTTTTTTCTTTTTCTTAAAGATATCATTATCTACAGGAACTCATAAAAATTTTTCCATATTTACATCTAGATAGCTAATCATTGACAAATACAATATCGTGAAATAAAATATTGAAAGTGAATATTCAACCTTTTAAATAGACATTTGGCTCACAGCATAAACAACAGAGAAAAAACAAACAGAACAAAACAAAAAGATCTGCTCTTCTACAGGAGCGATCTTTTCCTCTCACTTGAAAAAGAAAAATAAAAAGAAAAAACCATTAAGTATACTGGTGGGATCAAACACGCTGCTTCTAGGCAGAACACCAGCAACAAACTGCTCCCAGCCAGCACCTTGCACTGAAATCCAAGCTCTCCGAAGCTCCTGTGAGTGGTTGCTGAGACATCCTCAGGACTGGCACCATTCTCCAACCCTTCTCCTAATGCATCGTCCACATTTTATTCTGAGAAGGGGCATGATCTCCATGCTCCCCTTCTTTTGCTCTCAAGAGATGGTGCTTAGCTTCGCTCTTATATGGTATATTTGGCCACTGATGTGTGGAGGCATAAGGTCTGGGTGGAAAGATGGCAGTGTTGCCTCTAGTTTCTGCATACGCACACACGTTTGCTCTTTTCTGCTTCCTGCTCAAACATATATGCCATTCTTGCACTCAGAGGCAGACAGAGGGTCGGGGCCTTTCACAGGCAGCATGCTGCACAATCCCTCGTAACCCAACTGGAATAAGTGCCCTGGCACATCCCTTTGCCAGCAGTTTGGGAGGTGCTGGAGGAGGAGGAGGAAGAGAAGGAAGAAGAGCTGAAGTCACAAAGCCAGCATGCAGCCCGGTCCTCAGAGGAGGATGGGAATACAGAGCTCCTCAAAAGGGCTCCTCATGGGCACAAATTCTTAAAATTTAGGCCTCCTGTTCATTGTCGTGTATTGGGATGTGCTACAGCTAGTCTCAAACTCTGCTATATGACATTATATCCACCCACACACATGAGCGCTCCCCTCATACACATATATGTTGGCAGGACACATGTAAAGCTTTGGAACTTTTATCCCTCAGTATTAAGAGCAAAAGCTACTTAACTGGTACCTCGCTGTTAACTGCAAATGTGCTTTAGAAACAGCATTTCTTTAGATAACTTCCTTCTGTAAATATCACAGTGACCATAATATATCATTAAATGTATTTTGCTGAAGTGCACAGCCAAAAACCCTGGCTATATATATATATATATATATTTATATAAATCCACTCCCCACCCCCACCCCAAATCTCTTTAAAGAAAGTCTGTAAAAGCCGGTGTAGCAGTGTGAAAGCTTCCTTGAGCACAGGAGTTTAAACAATGTACCTCACCATAAAAAGGAAAGAGAAACAAATTAAACAGCTGTAGGCGCATAATCCCATACTTCTACAGTGTGGTGTCTAAATGCTGTGCTGGCTTGAGAAAGAGTCTGTGCACGAGTCAATCTGTCTTAAAATACTGCTGTAAATATTGTCATTGGTTCGGTTCTACAGTTGTGTTCTCTTCTTCGTCTCTCTTGGGCTTCCCCTTCTCTTCCTCCTCTTCCCTGATGGCCTGAATTTGTTCTGAAGATGGGTGCAGTGTGGATTGCTCCGCGCCTTGCTTCTCTGTCCCAGCTAACCTCTCCTCATCCTCAATTACTTTCTTCCACATTTTATGGTTCTGAAGCAGGTGCTGAGTGATCTGACAGTAGATTTTCCTCCTCTTGAACTTCTTCTTTCCTGTAAAATACCATGTGATATTAGTGTACTGATTTCTGTGAAGGAAGAAGAAGAATGGATTGAAGGTGTAGGAAGTAGACAGGGTGCATGATAGGGAACAATAGATTTTTAAAACTGTCAACTTAAACACTCCTAAAAACTCAGACAGCCATGTCTCCCCAGACCTCTGGGAAAAAATGCTGATTTCCCACACTGATTGAACCCCAGCCTTCTCCTGCCATAGTCTGACCGTTCAGCTCACAGAGACATCTAGTGCCTGAATGTTTGTGCACAACAAAGGTTTTTGAGCTGTTTCCACTCACTTTCTTGGAATCAAGAGCTTCAAAACATTGGGCAACTTACTCTATACACCCACATTAATCCCCCATCCCCAAATGGATCTCTGCTCACTGCTCTGGGAAAATATTCTTGATTTTGTTTTCTCACATTTTACCTTTGGTCTGATCAGGAGGTAAACTAATGAGCATTAGTACTCAATGGATGGAACATGTTCCTGTGTTGTCTTTTCAAAGACAGAGATTTACTGCAGCATCACTGCAATAGAGATTACCTTAAAGCTTTTGCACAACACTGCTCCAGTGGCAGAGTTTGACCACTGATGAAGTGGTCATACAGCTGAATACTAGCAGGGAGCTTGCTTATCACTGGTTTTGAAGCAGTCTCCTCTTGTTAATCTACAGAATGCTTTTGCCACTGTTAGTTCTCAAAAACCCTGACACAACTGCACCACAAGTGTTCTGCTGTCTGAAGTGTTTTCATAGCCTGCCCAACACAATATACCTCACTACAAAAAGAGAAGTGGTTTTTTTTTTCAGTGTCTCTATAGCTTGTCCAACACAACACACCCCAAAAATGAAAGAGAAGATTCTTAGCTCAAACTACAAAGCTTGAAAAGTTTTCCTGATCATTAACATTGGCAAAGGTGGTCATAGAACTGAAATAATAACCTCTCCAAAGACAACTGCTGATTTCTTTTTTTTAAAGAAAGTGACGTAGAGGAATGTTTTGTACCAAATAAATTTGCGTGGATTAGTATTTGCAGGTTGCCTAAAGTATGCCTGTGTCAGGGTCCAAAACGTTTAGCCCTTGAAGCTTTTGAACTGGAAACAAAGAGCTTTTCACTGAGCACAGACCAAATCCAACTCAATCCTTCATTAGAAAGCCCTTGGTTCTCTGTAGGAAACCTTCAGGTTTAGCACTAATAAGAAGCCCCTGCTCTGCCAATGCCACAGCAGGACATTCTCTCCTTCGTTTCCCGGGTGACCCCTCATCTTGCTGCTCCCTCAGAGACTGGTGAGAACTTGCGTGTGGTGCTAAAATTTGCCTGAATAACCAAAGAATGAGTCTGTTTAATTTGCGTCCTTGCAACAGAAATTTGGGAAAATTACATGTTCGTGTATAGTGGTAAAAGCAATAACCCATTTTAAGCTACCTTAAGTTTTATAACTCTAAATTTAACTGAGCTTCTTCGGGGAATTATCAGGACCTACGTTTTCTGCAAAAACTATATTTCCATCTACCTAAATGACACTTCCATCAAGAAAAAGATCTCCACCAACGCAACGCTTAATATCTACGCAACTTACATCTCAACCTTTTATTTTGTTTCACAGAGAAAAATTTATAACATCTAAAACTGTGTTGATCATGGGAAAAAATTTCCAATGACTATACCCACACAAAAGATCCTGTAGATATGTAATTAACATCCATACAGTCACAGAAAATGCAGGGAATGAGAGAAAAGCAGATTTTAACATGTATGTATGACTGAAATCAGCATCTCACATTCAGTAAAAAGGAAGGAGGAAGAATTTGTTGGGATATTTCAAACCTTTTGATATATTTATTTTTAGGGTTTTGAAAAAGATACAGAACCTAAAAGCAACACCATGAATAATAACTATTATCACAGGGTAGAACATGGAAAAGAAAACAGAAGATGACTAAAAAATGATCTGTTCTCAAAGTGACAAGTGTTAATGTTCTGTGCTTTTAACTTAAAAGCAGCATTGTTTAACTTGTAGAGATACAAAAGAGAATACAGCAATGAGGCAAATGGTGACTAAGGGTTTAAAAGTAAGGCAAGACCTTAGAATGGATAAGTGAGGAGAACATCCTTAATCTTCCTTTTTAATATGGCAACATTAGTTCCAGTGCTTTGGTGTCTCTGTTGGTTATCAATCTCACAACTTTCCCCTGATAATCAACTCCATAAGCCTGAATCTGCCATAGAAATGTGTAGTCCTGCCTTCTATCACAGAGATGATCCTGATAGATCACAAGGTGTTAAAATAAACCAGTGCATGCTTATTTAATGCTTGCTGTTTAATTTTGTGTACACTCTCCTGCTCAAGTTAAAATATATGCCTGTGTGTGTGTATGTTTGTGTGTGTGTGTGTTAATAAGAACAACATCTGAATCCTACTAGACAATAAAGGTCACATCAGGAGACCAATATTTTAATTTTTGGTCCTAATGTGGCTTATAGCAATTACCAATTTTTTTTTCACTTCTCAGCTTTCCCAACAGAAAATGGAGATGAGATTCAGTAGGCCAGGGAAGGGTGTAGGAAAGAAGAGAAAAGGTGAGGTTGTTAGAGAAAAGGCTGCATATTAGTGTTTCACTAGGGCAATGAAGGCTGATGTTTTCTAGACATAAGATGTGATATAGGAGAGGGAGTGCCAATGTGACTGACTTTGTGATGATTTCACCAAGGACAGCACTGAATCTCTCTAACTTTGGAGTGGTTCACCTGGAACCTGATCTGTGCTTCTACAATTTGACTGTTTAGTTTTTGATCACTGTATGGAACTTCTGTTGGAAAAAAAAGAAAATAAAAGGAAAAGTGTGAGCAACTTACTGGATTCAGCATTTTCACAAGTTTCCATTTCTGCTGCTTCTTCCTCTTCATGCTCATCGGTGTCTCCTGATTCATCACTATCTTCTATCCATTTTCCTGGCATCAACCCCGCAGAGTCATAGGAGTTACATAGTGGTCCCACAATGTGAGTGATGAAGGATTCCTGGAGATGTGCCAGCTGAGGAGCAGAGCGATCCATGAAAGGGCTGATAGGCAGGCCCAGGCTAGCCTCTTCATCACCCTGGAGATGAAAAATAGCAGTAATTTCTCTGAAGTGAACGGAAGAAAAAACGTGACACAAAAAGGAGCACTGCACACCAAGCCAATTAAAAATGATGAAAGATAAATAGCCCTACTAGAATGCCACTTCCATAGCATGCCAGCATGACATTATGACAGTACCATTACGTCAAATGCTTAATTGAATTACAGCTCTACTCTTGCAAGAGGATTCACTATCAATAGCTTAAATTTAACAAGAATGTTAGTTGATAACTATTCAAAATGATGTCCACTGACCTGAACTTTACACTGAATGTGAAGGTTGGAAAACCAATGTTTACTTTCTTTCTTCACATTATTTTCTGGAAAGTTTTCTGATTTTGGTTAGCTCATTCTTCTTGTAGTCAGTCCTCTGTTTGCAGGGGACAAGACTGAACAACCTACTTGGGGCTACAAGCCCCAGCCACCTCATTGACCTTGTTTTCTTGTGGATTTTGTCCTTATTATTACACATATCTTTAAACAAAGAATTCCTTTTGGTTTTTACATTATAATTAACTGTTTCCTGGGAATATTGGAATGATCTCCATCAAAGCAGGCATTACTTGGAAGCAGTAAATCTTTCCCAGAAAGCTTTTTGCTAGCTTTTCTTGGGAAGAGAGGGCACGGGGAAGGGGAGGTATAGGAAGACTTTTATCTCTGTCTTCCTATGACAGAAAAGAAAACTGAACTTTCTTGCAGTACAAAGTCTGCAAGTCACCCCTATAACATAAAAACCTCTGGTAATATCAGTGAGTGCTCAGCTGAGCAGAAATGTCAAGATTAAATGTTACCTCAGTTAAAAAAAATCCCCTTAACCAATCTTGTTATGCAAATTAATGCATTAATGCAACACAGGCATCTATATCTGAGAGCACAGATTAGAATCTGGACAGACAGTTTCAGTTTCCACGAAGATATCTATTGCCTGAGTTTACCTCCTGGCAAACTCAATATTCCAAAAGCCAAAGACAATGTTACCTGGTCAAAAACTTGTTGGTGTCTTGAAAGGCCAACAAACGTAAGTTCAATTTTGAAGCACAGACAAAAGATATCTCACTTCCATGTGTTGTTTTTGTTCTATTGATTTTTATAACAGTCTTCACCAAAATGTTATACTTTGCGGACACATCAGAAGCTTCAGTGCCAAATGACACTGAAAGTCACTGATTCAGCAAAAGGGTTGCCTAGTTGAACTCTAAGCAACTCCATTAGACCTGTTCTCTGCAATTTCACTCAGCACCAATACTAGCATACTGCAGGACTGTTCAGCATACAACATGCAACCAGAAGATATTACCTGGACATGCATTTATTTACCTGTTCATAAAACTCATTGACAATGCCCTCTGTCCACTGTAGATGCAAGTCTTTGCATTTTGCAGGCCCATTTATGTCAGCCAGTTTGATACACATTTGGCAAACCAGTAAGCGGTCATTCTCGTTAGTCCAGTCAATCCCAACATCATCGTTCACCTAGCAGATAGAGAAAGGAAAAGTATGACAGTAATCCTGGGTAAGAATGCATTCACAGATAAAATTCTGCCTTGGGATATCTTGCTGTTCAGCTGCTTAACAAAACCATGAGTGCAAGCAGATAAGCTAAGCTGAGGCTGGAATTTACAATTATCTGTACAATGATCTGCAGATGAATCTGTAAAACGAAAAATAAGTGAAAAACAATGAATGCTGAGATATATTATGACGAACTAATATTTAGCAAATAATGTCTCAGTCTGAAAGCATTACTAGGAAAATAGACAAATACAACCTTTCCCTAACATTTTCCAAAAAGTTACTAGCTAATTAGTGTACAAAGATAAATTACCATCAAATGCCATGGTGATTTTCTTACAGCATGAAGATGGATGTAACAGACCTACTTCCCTATTTGATCTAGGTTTTTTTGGAATGGATTCACTTTTTTATCCTTTTTATTTTTTCCTATACCTCCCCACAATAAAATGTGCTATGTACTATCAACTTCTCTAAAGCCAAAGAGTCTCAGAAAGGTTGAGGCTGGAAAGCACCTCTCAAATTCATCTTGTCCACTCCTTTTGCTCACATCTGGGTCAATCAGAGCAGGCTGCTCAGGACTGTGTCTAGTTGGGTTTTGAGGATCTCCAGCAATCTCTCTGAGTAACTTTTTACCAGCATATGATCCCTCTCACAGGAAGCAAATCCATTCCTGTTCTTAAATGGTATTTCCTGCATTTCACTTTGGGCTGTTGTCACTTGTCCCATCACAAGATAACAACAAGCAGAGTTTGGCTCCATCTACTTCATTCTCTCCACCAAGCAGTTATACACATGGCTGCATCCTATCAACTCCCATGGACTTGTGTATGTCAGTTTGTGTGACCTGATCCCATTCACTGAGGACAAGCCTTAATTGCCCCAGACTTTCTGGCACATCTCAGGGATATGGATTTCCTGAAGCTACATTTTACCTGAAAAGACTGAGGCAAAAAAAAACAAAGTGAAGACTTCAGCCTTTTCCATCTCTGAATAGTTAGTAATATCAACCTTTGCTATTGTTAGTCACTTTTTCCCACCTCAGATTTTTCATCTAGTTTATTTCCTAGTGGGGAGGGATTTATTTTACTATCAATTTTTTAAACTCAAATCCCTCCTTGTAACATAGCTTTAATTTTCAAGCTTGCAATAGTTGAAAATAGATAGAAAGTTGTGCTATAACTAAATGAAACTTAAGTGTTTCCAGTCACCAGGTCCCCTGTTCCATAGAGCAGTGGGTTCTCAATGGTGAGGGTTTTGCCATTGGTACAGACACTGACATAACTAGTGTCAGAAGTAACCTCTCCAATACATTAATATCATGAAAGTGACAGACAGCGACCTTCCTTCATTACTTCTTGTTGCTATTTTCCAGACTGCAAGCTTTCATGGTAGGAGGATGCTTACATTACATAAGTTTACACTGACTTCTACAGTCTCCCTGGCTGTGGTCCCAGTACAATGAACTGCAGTTCAGCTACTCAATCAATAACACAATCATTTAGAGCTCAGTTTATCATAGTTGCAACACCTCCACACAAAGAAATGTGTGAGGTCTGCTGTCTGAGAACACTCTGGTGTTTTCTAACAAACCACAAATAATCTCTTTTAAGGCAGTGATTACTCACAGAAAGCTAGGGTTGGCCACAAACACTGGTTTTATTTTAACCTTCTCCTCCACTTTTTATTCCAAGTGTGGCCATTTGGTTATTCAAGTAATCAGGACAAAGAAGAAGGTAAATATCTGTCCTTACAAATCTATAGTGAGTTAGCACGACGTGATACATCAAACTGTTCTCTTATTTACCTTCAGTGTCTCAGGTATCACCATGCTTGGTTACACAGTGATCATGTCTATTGTTGTCCTGATAGATTTAACACAAATATAATTTTCAGCAGTCTTAATCAACGCTTTTTACTCTGCATTTACTGCTCGTCAAGCTTGTCCTCTTCTACAGTTAAGACAGTTTATACCTCTGTCAAGGTTTAGCTTATTTGTTGTATTTTCTTTGTTGGTGGTGGTTTTTGTTTGTTTTCATTCTTTGCTTACGTTCACAGAAATGAATTATTTTGTCCAAACTGTCAAAACCAAATATATATCCATATATCCAGACAGCCTAAATTCTCTGTGCTTTATTGTCATTGTAGCCCTGACAGATGAGAATGTGCTGGAAAGCTCAATACTTAAAAGACAAAATTAGTCAGGTGAAAATGGCCAAGGGGTTTAAAAGACAAAGAGAATCTCCTCTAATATCACTAGGAGGATCTGGAACATGAGAAACAGAAGTACAGAGGGAGTTAAGATGTTTACGGATCTCCAAATAAGTTCTCTCTCTACCCTGAACCATAATTTAACTTTTACACCTTCTGGAGCCTAACAAAGAGAAATGTTACAGGAAAATGAAAAACAAAACCAGTCACACATTTGCAGGCTTCTAACTTTCAGATCCAGTCTAAGCAATACCGCAAGAAAACTTTATAGGTATGTCACTAAATCAGCTAGGAAGTCCTAATCGGGGACAGGAAACACGCTGTGCTTGGTTTTATTCAAGGAATGAGAAGGAAATACCAGCTCCCAAGCAGATACTATTTAGGTAATGTACTTACAGTTCGGATGAGCGATGGAGATTATTAAAGTAACCTGACAAGTGACTATTTCCAATAAACTGAAACTAGATTGAAACTATATAACAATTTTAAAGATATATTCCCAGAGTTGTGATTTTATATTCCCTGAACAGAGTGTAAAGGAAAGGTCTCCAGTGATGTCCTTCTCAGGGGGATACCCGTTTGGACTAAAGTAAGAGAGAAGGATCATCCTTTCACTGCATTCAAATTAGAATTTCAAAATCATTATGACTTCTGTATTTTGCTAACAGAACAGTATGATTAAACAGATAAAAATAACATTAAGTATTCAGATACTATGGAAACTTGGTAATACCTCTGATTATTTTCCCTCAATGCTACTATGTATAAAATGTTCACGAGCAAACAAACAATGCTGAAAAGTGGGATGTAAGTGGGATTTTCATGAAATTGTCCCATATTGCATAATATCCTCAACAGGGTAAATTAGCCTTTCATTATGTCATTCTGTATGTTATCAACAGAGCCTACTTCTAGGAAAAACTAAAACAAAAAAACAAAAACAAAAACAAAAAAACAAAACACCAAACAACTGACCATAAGAAGGAAGCTATGGCACTAAATTGAAATAATCTAAAAATGACAACAGAAGTGCTAGATTAATATTCATCAGAATGCTTTATAGTAGCTGAAAGGAAATTCAGAAGAAAAAGCAACACAGCAAGCTTTTGAGTCATTGTGACGCTAACAAGCCCCAGAAAGTTTTCTGACAATCCACCAGAAATCCAAATGGATCTTGTTACCTTGGCATTGAATTTGGCAACAAAATCAAAGTGTTTCTTCAGGTCAGTAGCCAAGATTGCCTCGATGACAAGGAAGCGGAAATGCTTGAACTCCACATGGTCGAGGTTGACCAAGAAGTTGTATTCTGGCCTTGACATGAAAAGGTTCCAAGCAGCAGCAGCATGATGGTTCTCCAGGACGGAGCGGTCATTGTACAGCACTGCCTGTGAAAGCAATAAGGGAAACAGCTCAGCAAAAGAAACATTGCGATTACAGAAATAAAAATGATGTGGGTGTAAGGAATGAAGGATGTTCAGGCTTGATTGATCTTAACTTTGTAAAGAATATCCCGAGTTTTCATAGTACAGTTTTTGCAGAATTAGAAGCAGACAGCTGATCTACTGTGATAGCTCAAATCTATTTTAAAATCTGGATTTTTCATGCTTAAGAGTCTTTGGTTCCATACTAAACCACATCACCTGACAGTGAATATCTAATATGCTTTTTCATTCATTGGTTTTTAACACATATAAGCCTTATCAATATTATCACGTTGCACTTCCCTGTTTTTTAGAGCCAGTCTTAGTATTAGCAGAAATTACTGTCTTTTGTGTTTGTATCTGACAATTTTGTCAATATTAGACTTACTCCAAACTCAGAAGAAAAAAAAAAATAAGGAAGAAACTCCAATTTGAAACTCAACATTGCACAACACTCTAAAACTGGTTAAATATTTAAAAGCCAAGATGCATATATCTCATTGTGATAGCAATTTCACTCAGAAATGAGATTAAAAAAAGATGTAGAAAGTGGACTTCGTAGGACAACAGCAATCTAGGAAGTCTCTTCACTTCAGCAGCATTCAGTCTCTTGACTATTTCCTTTATGGAAATATGTTTCTGTGTAAAGTTTTCTACTTTACAGAAAGATAAAAATGTATCTTCCAGTGCTAAGGCTTCCTTCATTACTTTTCATTTAAATTATATTTTGCTATCTAGAAGTAAAAAAATTCTACCTTATCCTGAAGAATAAAATCTATTATTTCTCACAGAGATTGGTTTGCTGAAGCAATGCAGGTTTACAGTCTATCTTGTCTAACTACACAGTAATAATTTAATGTACATATATTTTGCTGCCCAGACCCCACTCCTCAAGGCATATTTTTTGTCCAGCAGCACTTCAGCTTTACTGAAAGCTCATACAGCTTGTGGTGAAATATATATATATAAATTATATGTACATACATATGTACAAAACAGATTCTGAAAAAAATTCTGTCCAAAATTTCATGTGATACTGGATTAAAACCAAACAAAATAAAACAACAAAAGAACACAAAAACCAAGAAGGTTTTGAACTTTGTCCATTAATTTCTTCTCAAACTATAGGCAATACATCAAAGCTAATTATCTAACTTCTTTAACTTTTAAAAATGAGTTCAGTAATAGCATGTTTCCCATCAGGCTATTTATCCAGCAAGAGCATCAGAGTTATTGATCACAGAAACATGTTGCAAAGATGAGGAGCATTACTATAAGTTTATAGACAGAAGCTGGCACAAAGCATGGCCAGATGATTTGCCCTAGGTGAAAAAGAAGTCTGGATCCAAGCTAGCGAGTAGATACAGAACTTCTGCATCCGTACCCAACTTTGCACCATAACACCACCTTTCTTTGTTTCTTTGTGGACAGAATTATCTTTCAGCACAGTATGCTGAAGCCAAGCAGGTCAGCTATGTAAAGTAAATAAAGATGATCTCGTAATTAAGCCAATAAACAGTGACTCAGAATTACTGAATTTCACTGCCAGCGTTGGCAGCAATTTCCATGTAACCTTAGGTAAATCTCAATAACTCATTTGTAAAAATAAGATGATCTTTTTCCCTGATAGAGGCATACAGTAAAGATACATTCATAAAAGATCGCCGCTGTTCGTATACTGCAGGATCAATAGAAAATATTTGTTATGATTGTGCAGAAACTTACTTGTCTGGTGCATGTGGCAACTACACAGGTGGTGGTTTATGTTCGTTTTACTGACTTTTGTTTGTTTGTTTGTTTCTTTTTATCCTTCTGTGCCTTACTGTACAGAATAATATTTCCTTTATTTCCCAGTTACAAACTGTGTCAGTCTTCTCCTTCACCATGATGTTTTATCTACACCTTTCTTAACAGTACCAGTAATAGAATGTGGTGAGGGTGTGTAAAGAGACTTACTGGCAATCCCCAAGGTAAGTGTTTATTTTTGTCACTTTGATAAGCTACTCTGGTATTCGGTAGAATTGTGCTTAATGCAAGCTGCAGGCACCAGTGACAACTGAAATCTGTCACGTTCTGAACAGTAGTGTCTTAATTACCTGAGGAGCACTTGTTGCCACCAAAAAGGCATTAGTCCTTCCTGGATGATCGTAATCATGCATGGCTGCAGCTACATAAAGAGCCATCAACTCAAGAGCTGGGATGTTGCCAGCTAGGCATCCGTAGCTGTCATCTGTAGGTGTGTATGTCTTCGAAAACACATAACCCATATGGCCATGAGTGATTCCACTGTCAGAATCTGAACAGAAATAAATACATTTAGAAAATTCCTGACCATTTTTTTTTTTCCTTCAGAGACTTACTGAAACATATGGGAACAGCAAAGCAGAAGGAGTGGAGAATTCACAGTAGCTAACTGAAGAGTAAACGTGTTCTGACCTGAATGCTTTCTGATGCATACCTGACCTGGTGCAGTAAGGCAAGCAATTGGAAAGGTACAATTTCAGATCCCCCCAGGGATGTTCCTCCAGCAGAGGCTGCTCTCAAACTACAAAAAGTACTGACAATAATACTGACACGCTGGAGCTTTGTGGGTAACTCGATCTTTCCAACACCTTCATCTAATTGCTTCACCATAAAGATTAGTCTTTGAAATACTGTCTGTTCTTAAAGTAGTAGAATAGCATTTATGAATTCAGTAGGTGTAGATGCAGGTTTTCCAATCCAAGTCTAGACTTTTACTTCTTTGCTGCTAATCCTCTTAGCAGCCTCTTTTAGAAACAGCTTGAATGTGTCTCTCTCAGTGGCAGATTTTGAGATGCATTGAATGAATTCATATGCAGCTGAACAGCACTGAACTGCAGGGTGACCTCACTGCGACCTTCCTGTACCTAAAGGGAGGCTACAAACAGGAGGGGAGTCAACTCTCTGAAAGGGTAGATAATGGCAGGACAAGGGGAAATGGTTTTAAGTCAAAGGAGGGAAGATTCAGGTTGGGTGTCAGAGGGAGGTTCTTTACCAAAAGAACGGTGAGGTGCTGGAACAGGCTGCCCAGAGAGCCTGTGGATGCCCCGTTCCTGGAGGTGTTCAAGGCCAGATTGGATGGGGCCCTGGGCAGCCTGGTCTAATATTAGATATGGAGGTTGGTGACCCTGCCTGCAGAGGAGGGGTGTTGGAGCTTGATGATCTTTGAGGTCGCTTCCAACCCAAGCCATTCTATGATTCTGTGATTATATTTCAAATAACAAACACCAAAATCCCCAAACCTCAATCCCTTTCATTTCACCCATTTCCCCTGATCTACAATTGGAGGCTGTTATGAAACCCCCTGATGGTATGATAACTAACAACATTTTCCAGGAATAGCAACCCTTTGCACCACCAAAACATTCTGAAGAGTTTCACAAATGGCACACGTGTGCCACAAAAACACCAGCAAAAAAACCTTTAAGTAGAAATGTTCCCTGTGGAACAAACTCTTGCCTTAACAGCAAATCCCTCAGAACACCCACAGAATACAGACAGGCCCCCTAGTTGCTATACCTCAAGCTGAGAAGTTAATACAAAGGTGCAATAAGAAAATCTGCTTGTAAGAAGCAATCATAAGACAGCAGATGGATGGTCTTGCAAGGTAGTAGCAAGTCTCTTTCTTTGGGTACAGTGAGGAATGGCAAAGGGACACTTTACAACCACCAAGAAGCAACAGTGCATGCCTCCACTTGTGTGTTCCTGTGCCTTCATAATAGCAAAATAATGCAGGGTTTGAAGACTTAAAGATTTACATCTCTCGAAGGAGCAATAGAAAGCACTGCTAATACAGTTTCTTAGAAGAAAATCTATTGTAAAATTCAAATGGTCATAAACACCTGTTATTAAGAGCAAGGTTTGCATTCACACACTGAATATAAAATATTAGGTTTTGGTCTCTTCTAAGTTATACAAACATACATTCAGCATCCAATGTGCTACTGTTTATAACAACAAGTACTGTACTCATTCCTCAATTGTTGGCTTTCTTCCAGCAAATTTTGTCAAAAGCTTTAAAAATACAACATATATACTTGTATATTTAAATATACCTGAATCACTCGCTGACCCGTGATCATTAATCACAGTTGGGAGTCCCGGAATGGGCTGAGTAGTAAGGTACCACACGGCATGCAGAACATCAGTTGCGTGGATTCGATTGTGATCTGTGATACAAAACAAATGACCTCACTATTAAGCATGAATATTTCTGACAGAGGGAAATCAGCACCATCTAGTGGGTACTGCATGGCAGTCAATTGAGCCAGAGACAAATCCAATGTTATCACAACCATGAAAAACAGCTGTATTTTGTAAATGCTCAGCTTTTCTTTTACCATAGATGAAGCAAATTCAATTCTAAGTCTTCATATGAGTCCTGAAAGAGAAAAATAGAAGCAGAGCAGTTTGCAGAAACTTTGCAAAGAAAGTATTAAACAATGAGTTTTCTAGCTCTATTACTCCAGCGGCTGCCTTTTGCTAGTTAAATGCCACTGATCTGAATATTCACTGCTAACCTCTGATTCCAATGAAATCAGTTGAAAAAGCTCATTCTCTTCAGTAGCCAGATTTCAACCTACTTGCTAATGATAGCTCCACAAAATCAAGCTGAGGATATGTGCACGTTGCACAGTTAAACCAGGTTCTTTCTGTGGTTTGCTGACTACAGATTAAGAGCTCAGGCCCCAGCTCCTGTAATCTGGCTTGCTACAAGTTCTCTTTGCAGAAATGAGAGGTAAGTCATTTCAAGGCTTTTCCCACAAATCCTTCAAAGCCAGATAAACAATCCTACAATCAACACAAGTAACTGAAAAAAGAATTGCATGCTAGTTCACCAAAGAGCATCATGTAAATATACACTGGCAAGAGCAAACATGATGCTTGAAGAGGAGTAATACTGCTGCACCACAACCATAGCTTACATCTGGGGTTGAATCACTGAACGACAAGTATTTCAACTTGCAATTTAGGCTAATTTGAGGCAGTATAGTGATTAGATGACACTCTTAGAAATCTGCTTTTCCAAATTATGACCTGTGCTTATGCTACCTCTACTGGAATTCTGGACAAATGCATAGCAGGGAGCAAAGCAGAAAAATATAGGGATTGCATCCCTATAAGTCAGAGGAGCTGGCTATATCTCCAGGTAATCATTCACTTTAATTAAGGGAGACACCTTGATAATGCTCATCAGCCATGTGTGTCTCATAATCAAACTAAACTGGCTGCCCGTGGGCTGGACAGATATACTCTTCTTTGGGTAAAGAACTGGTTAGAGGGCTGTGCCCAACAGGTAGTGGTTAATGGAGTTAAGTCCAGCTGGCGACCCCATTACAAGTGGTGTCCCCCAAGCACTGGGTACTCGGTACTGGGGCCCATCTTGTTTGATATCTTTATTGATGACCTAGATGAAGGGATTGAGTGTACCCTCAGTAAGTTTGCAGATGACACCAAGTTAGGAGGTGGTGTCAATCTGCCTGAGGGTAGGGAGGACCTTCAGAGGGATTTAGATAAGCTGGATTGCTGGGCTGAGGTGAATGGGATGAGGTTCAACAAGGCCAAGTGCTGGGTCCTGCAGTTTGGCCACAACAACCCCATGCAGCTCTATAGGCTTGGGGATGAGTGTCTGGATGACTGTGAAGAGGAAAGGGACCTGGGAGTGTTGGTGGATGCTCAGCTGAACATGAGCCGACAGTGTGCCCAGGTGGCCAAGAGGGCCAGTGCCATCCTGGCCTGAATTAGGAACTCTGTGGCCAGCAGGAGCAGGGAGGTGATCATCCCCCTGTACTCAGCACTGGTGAGGCCGCACCTTGAGTCCTGTGTTCAGTTTTGGGCCTCTCACTACAAAAAAGACATTGAGGCCCTGGAGCGTGTCCAGAGAAGGGCAACGAAAATGGTGAGGGGTCTGGAGCACAAGTCTTATGAGGAGCGGCTGAGGGAGCTGGGATTGTTTAGTCTAGAGAAGAGGAGGCTGAGAAGAGATCTTATTGCACTCTACAACTTCCTGAAGAGAGGTTGTGATGAGGAGGGGTTTGGTCTCTTCTCCCAAGCAACAAACAGGACTCGAGGAAATGGCCGCAAGTTGTACCAGGGGAGGTTTAGGTTAGACATAAGGAAGAACTTTTTCTCTCAGAGAGTGGTCAGGCACTGCAGTGGCCTACCCAGGGAGGTGGTGGAGTCGCAGTCCCTGGCAGTGTTCAAGAGGCGTCTGGATGAGCTACGAGATATGGGTTAGTGCTTGTGGTAGCAGTGGTTAACGGTTGGACTAGATGATCTTGCAGGTTGTTTCCAACCTTGAGATTCTATGATGCTATGATTCAATAAAGTCAGCCTAGAATTCTATCTGCCAAGGGCAGATGGATGTAATATACAAATGCTTATTATATTTACAGTTTGCAGTGACTTTGCTCACTAAATGTGGGCATAATGTCATGCCACTTGATCCTAGTATTTACCCCTCACTTTCCTCTCTTGCTCTCCTGTGATCTTCCCCTTTAAATATTTGTTAGTGATCATTAGCTAATTCTTTAATTATTTTTTTAACAACAAAACAATAAGCAGCATAGGAATGGATATATTTTTGAAATAAAAAAGGAAAATAAGGAAGAGATCTCCTTCCTGACTTTCTTGAAGTACTAATCTCCTCATGCAAAACTGAGTTCTGCACAGGGCTCTAAAGCTGGATGAACATCTTGTGAAACCTGTACTAATTTAATCCAACTGGAATAGTCATCATTTTTCAGTTCAGAAACCAGACAAAAATTAATCAAAGCAAGTTGTTTTGTTTTCTACTCCTTCACAGCAATGAAAAGTTGAAAGGAAAATTAGTTATGTATTAGACAAAATATTTGGCTAGCTATAAAATGAAATACACATAAGAAAAGCCACAGAAATGGAAGGCTAGATTCACAAAAATTCCTGAGCCCCCCTGAGTAGAGAAGCGTTGAAAGTTGTTGAAAACAAAGAGGAAAGACTGCCAGACATTCATATACAAGGCCTCAGGCTATAATCTACTGTTTATAATCCCTCTTAGATTCAAACACAAGGAAAGATTTGAAATTTGTTGTCCCACTTTCTCAACAGAGAGTCCAAACCAGCTGGCTGGAGGGCATTCTGAGCTTGCTTTCAGTTCTTCACTGTTTAGCTGTTCCAATTTATATTTAATATTTTAAGAGTGAGACTACATGACTTATACCAATTTTTCAGACATTTTTCTGGGAGGGAGTAAACAGGGTGTCCTATATTTCTCAGCACAGGGTTTATTTGCCAGCTAACAGGGCGATAACCCCCTCTCTTCTCCGGAGAGAAAAACAGTCTTCACAGTTGAAGTGGTTCGTTAAGTTAGATTTGAATTAGCAAATACTTTGGGGATCACTGACAGCAGGCTTTTCAGTGAATAAATGATTCACACTGAAAAATACTAGCCTAGCTATAGGTGAGGAAGAGCAGGAGGCACCCAACTACTTCATCTACCTTTTCTGCTTTACAAAGCATGTCTATTTTGATAACATAGCACTACTTCTGTAAATAGTAAAAAATCCAAATCTCTCACGGGAGGGAATGTTTCAGTGAACTCCAGCTAGCACAGTGGTATGCTTGCATCATCAGAAAACATGTCATCAGAAAACTATTCTTTGTATATATGGTAGTTCCATGTGGTTGCAAGCTTGCAAAAAATATTTCCCATGAATTATAATTAAACAACATGAAACAGCAAATGCAATGAAAGAGAATGAGTGAGGCTATCGAATAAAACAGCCTCTGACTAAAGAGCTGTCTATTTGTCAGTGATGCAGCAGTAGTCAGGAAAAATATTCCTCTCTTAGTAATCAAGAAAGCATGAATGATTTCATGCATACAGTATGGTCAGCTATTGCTATTGAGCTTTTTAGTCAGCCTTTTCTGTTATTTATTTGTGTTAGACATTGCACAATTGTCTTCTGAAACAATGTGCAGTGGTAACTGTAAGTAATATATGCATGGAGAATGTATGATCTCAGTCAACATATAAGAAGGTTAATGAAAAAGGGCATCTTGTTTAAAAAAAGAAGTACCTAGTGTAATAAGAGAAAAAATGCTTCAATAATTAATTAAGTGAATGGAAAATACCCAAAGCTTTAAGGAAGCACCATTATCTGCTGGGAATGTTTACTTACAAGGTATCTCTCGGTATCCACATTCCAAGGCATGGAAATAGTTCATAAATTCCCTCACTGGAATTTTAAAGGTTTCAAACAACCCCATGTCTTCAAAAAGCCGGTATGATACCTGGAAAAAAGAAGAACAAAAAAAACCAAATAAAACATTAGCATTCTGCTAAGTCACCTGGAAGGAATCTAAAAATTACATATAAAAATCATTCTGCCCAATCGTCCCACAAAAATCTGCTATCTTGGTAGTATTTTATCGAGCACATAATCTGATCCAGCAATAGCAGCAGCTACTTGCATTTCCGTAGCACAGACAAACAGACAACTTATCATTTCAAAACTGTTCCCCTTGTTCTTTCAATACATCCTTCCAGAGGTTCTTCTCTTCCTTTCAGGCACATGGATCTCCCACATTCTGCAAGCACCTCAGAAGCATACACACAGACAGATAGCCAGAGCTCCTTAGTGTTTTGGGAAAATTTCCCCACAAACTTCTTCAAGAAGCATTTGTGAGTCAATTCATTTCCCAGAAAAAGAGGGAGTAAGTGAAAGAATGAGAAACAGGACAGAATGATTTGGATTCTCAGCATCATCTCCTTCCTTTACTTCCCATTTTGGCAATAAAATGGGAAAAATGACTTTAGGATTTCAGAGGCAGCAAGCAGCTTAGAGTTGCTGTAGACATCCAAGAGAGGATATATAATTGTCAAGAGGGGTGGCCAGCAGGGACAGGGAGGTGATTGTCCCCCTCTACTCTGCTCTTGTGAGGCCCCATCAGGAATACTGCGTCCAGGTCTGGAGCCCCCAGTACAGGAAGGAGAGGGAGTTGTTGGAGAGGGTCCAGAGGAGAGCCATGAAGATGATCAGGGGACTGGAGCACCTCCCGTATGAAGACAGGCTGAGGGAGCTGGGCTTGTTCAGCCTGGAGAAAAGAAGGCTGTGGGGTGTCCTCATTGCAGCCTTTCAATACCTAAAGGGAGCCTACAGACAAGATGGGAATCAACTCTTTGAAAGGGTAGATAACTGCAGGACAAGGAGAAATGGTTTTAAGTTGAGGGAGGGAAGATTTAGGTTGGATGTCAAGGGGAAATTCTTTACAGAGAGAGTGGTGAGGTGCTGGAACAGGCTGCCCAGAGAGGTTGTGGATGCCCCATCCCTGGAGATGTTCAAGGCCAGACTGGATGGGGCCCTGGGCAGCCTGGTCTAGTATTAAATGGGGATGTTGGTGGCCCTGTATGTGGCAGGGGGGTTGGAGATTCATGATCTTTGAAGTCCCTTCCAACCCTGGCCATTCTGTGATTCTGTGATATCAAAAAGGAGAATGTGATGGCTGAGTGAGGGTGTGTTCAGGAGAGACGCAAGTTCAGAAATGCAGACAGGAGCAACTACAAAATGGACAAAATGCACAATAAGCTCGAGCATAGAAAATAATGGTGCATTTTAAAATTACTGTATCACTTCACTTCTTTCACAGATCACACCCCGAAGTCTGTCAGCTTCTTTATTTATTTACTGCTGTTAGCTAAATATTGTCCTTTTCATGTCATTTATCAGGTAATGGTCTGTCTAGAGCTAAACAACTTAAGACACATTTGAAAGGATGAGTGCTGTACTGATAAGAAATTATTACAAATTCTGCTCTGAGTTTCACACCCTAACGTGAACCAAATGGCTATCCACAGCTATTTTCTACTGTACACCACATATATAAACTGTGACCTGTGAGCAGTTCCTTCTGAAAGTTTAAGGAATGGATCTTCCCCCTCTAGTCTGTGCTGGCGAGGCCACATCTGGAATACAGTGCCCAGTTCTGGGCTCCTCAGTTCAGAAAAAAGTGATCTCCTAGAAAAAATCCTGCAAAGGGCCGTAAAGATGATTAGGGACCTGCAGCATCTCCCAGATGAGGAAAGGCCTGGGATGCTTCGACCTAGAGAAGAGAGGGCTGAGAGAGGATCTCATCACTGTTTATGAATATCTAAAGTGCAGGAGTCAAGTTGATGGGGACAGACTTTCTGGAGGTGAGCAACAATGGAACAAGGGGCAATGGGCACACACCGGAACACAGGAAGTTCCATACAAACACAAGGAAGAACTTCTTTATTTTGAGGGGGACAGCACTGGAACAGGCTGCCCATAGAGGCTGTGATATCTCCCTCTCTGGAGATATTCAAGATCTATCAGCACACCATTCTGTGTGACCTGCAGTAAGGAACATGCTTTAGCAGCGGGTTGGACTTGATGATGTCTAGAGGTCCCTTCCAACCCATACAATTCTGTGATTTCCAATGTTCTGTATTTAAATGGATGCAGTCTACAAAGGAGGGAGACAGCCCAGGTGAAAACCAGTAGTGTCATTTCATAGTAGGAAAAGAAAATGTGGGGCTGTGAAAGGCAAAACTGGGATCCTGCTCTACTGAGGCAGAACAAAGAGACTATCTTTATGTGTAATTTGGATTAGAAGGCACATAGAATCCTGCTAATCTATCTGGAATGGTGGTTGAAGTGAATTAGTTCCGATTCAACCTTTCCGATACATCGAAATAATGTATTTCACACACCGGTCTTAGATCACTGAATGATGAGCTCCATGTTTCATGCTAAATGTCTCTGTCCTCAAAGGGGAAGGATAAAGAAATATTAACCTGCAAGACCAAACTTTACAGTGTTACACCACCAACACTGAACAGGGTCCTTAAGTAAAACACGTAATAAAAGCATGTTTTTTTCCCTCCCCTTGGATTTTCTGGGGAGAACTCTGCAGCTGGTGAGAAAGTAAGCAGGTTGTGATGGATATGGATGGTAACTCTTCCCCATGACTCAGAGCGAAATGGCATTATTTTCCCTGGTCATCAGAGAAACAGCCAAAACAAGTCATTCAGACATTTAATTGTTTAGACTCACAGCTGTGGTGCAGCCCCCACAACCTAGGACAAGCCTTGAGGAAGCTGTGACAATGCCCAGCTACATTGTCTGCTCTCATGGCCTCCTCCCTCCATCTTCTGTTTGTCTCTGCCACAGCTGCTAATGCTTTGGTGAATCATTTATAACACAGCTACCACTCATGCTGCTGCTGAACAGGAACAAGTGCTTCTCCCTTGTGATTTCTAATGGAAGCTTTTTTAGAAGTGAAGTGGGGATCATCATTCACATGTACCTCCTGTCCCAGGGTGTAAGGGGCATACATTCAAATCTCAGAGGACTTTTGCAAGGTTTAGGTTAGCATTTCCCAACTCCCCCCTATAATTGCCAGAGTTTCTCTCTTCAGAAGTCATGCACGATCATGAGATATTCAAATATTCCTCTTGGCACCATCCAAGCAACGACAGCACTCTATCTCAATGCTGCTGGTGTACAAAAATTGCAGGAGTACCACCAATGTTTTGTATTTCTTGGGGCTTTGCAATAAAAGCTGGAGAGGGACCTTGACTTTAGCCTATCCTTTAACACATTCTTTATTTGCTTTCCAAAGGACATGAGTTTCTCTTCTGAAGGTTTTTATTTTTGTAGGAGTTGTAAGATGTGTGACTGAAAGCATTATCTAACTTTATGGCCTGTTGTGAAGCACCAGCTCAGTTGGAAGCTTTGCTGTTCCTTTCTGAAATTAGATTGGTATGCAAATTCCTCCCTAACCACTATTATGCATATTAGTTAGTGCCACATTTAGGGTGCTTTCCACTGTATTTTGCTTAGATACCTCTATGGTCACCAACTGGTTCAGGGTCTTTTTATATATCTAAATAAATTTAACATTACTAAAAGGAGACACAGACATCCCAAGCAGCTTTAAAGTCGCTATGCCAGCATTTGCTTTCTAAACTGAATGTCTCCCTAGAGGCACATGTCAACTCCACTTTGTTCCATCTCATAAATTTAACCTAGCAAGACAAACATAGTTAATTCAGCTTGTTAATTTACTTATTTTTTAATGGATGAGTCCACTTAATGGCAGAAAGCAGAGAATAAATCATTAGAGCTTTTGTTTTCCTTTGTTGATACTATCCAGCATTTTGAAATGATACAAGAAAAGACAATACGTTTTATCTGCAGAAAACAAATTGCTTATTTTGGATCTCTTACTTCTGAAAATAATTTTGTTAGGAACATCTGAGTAGGTGGAGGAAAGAACAATAGGAATTATCTTTATTTTAAGAACAAGGTTGAACTTGCTACATTTTGCTCTAAGACAGTAGGAGTTATTCTGCTGCTGCTACAGAAGATGGTGAATTTTCACAAATATTACTTACTTATGTTTCTCTATTATATTTCACAGGCCTCATTTTGTGACACTGCAACAGTGAGAATGTACACAGAATAATGTGTTCAAGAAGGAAATGTTTAGAAACAGAGCGTGGAATCCTAATGAAAAGCATGGGCAGCAGAAGGAGATTGTCCTGAGAGGTACAGAATTCCATGCAACTTGGTATAGTGTCTAAGACATACATAAGTAGCCAGACAAAGCTAGAAGAAACTTTTGTTCATTCAAACTTGATCATTCAAACTGCTAATTATGACACTAGAAATTTCTGTTTTTCCTTGTTTCATTCATGAGTCTGTAAGATGCTCTGCTGCTGAACAAAATCATGACAAAGAACACGTAGAAGAGAATGTTAATCAGATGCCTCCTACGTATTGCACGGTTGTCTCGATCAACGGTGAATATATATGCCCATATCCAGTCACAGTTTGCCTGTTTCTCCAAAACTAACCTAGAGAGTTGGTAGGCTGGTTAGATATCTATGTTACTTGCAACACTACAGAATGATAAAAGGCAGACCATGCTCTCAGATCTGACCGACTAACCACTGTGTTTGTGTGTGGGCATTAATTTTCCCATGTACATAAATACTTCTTTCCAGTGTTCATCGCTACATAATACCTTGTAAAGTGGTACTATATCAGTAGTGTTGTTTTTTTCTCCTCACAATCCTAAATATAATTATTTGATGTTTCATTTAATAAGCTTTAATACCTCCATAAGAGAAAAAACGTCTGATTTGTCAATATGCTAGGAAAAGGGGAACCACAGAGCAGAGTTCTGCCAAGAAACTGATTATTGAATTGA